CTTTACCAGCAAAAGGAATATCCCTTTTGGAAGGAACCATGGTCCGGCATAAGAGGTCGACATTTTCTAACATTGTCATCTCCAGCAATGTTATTTCATAAATGATGACAACATCACTTTCGATTATTCGGCGGCCAAAATAGCTTCCGAATTGGATTTGGGGGATTTGACCAGGACGATGGTTGATTCCAAAACGGAAGGCGGAGTGCAAAGTCATGCCACCAGCATAAAACTTTGTAGCGGCGATCCCAGTCGATGCTGTTGCAAGGACTTTGTGACCTAACCGCCTTAAATGGAAGAGTAAAAAGTTTAATAAGAAAGTTTTCCCAGTTCCACCATCCCCAGATAAGAAATAAAGTTTTTGGGAATTAGGATCTCTTATGGAATTAAGAATTAAATCAAAGAAATTATTTTGTTCGGGGTTAAGGGTGGCACTGACTAATGACGATGTATCGGCAGTTGCATCGGTATCATCATCATTTATATGTTGGGGGAAGAAAAACTGATCAACAGCTGTATCTGGGTCGTCAGTGAGGGAATTATGTGGAAGTGGGAGACCATAATCAGACATTTGCTTGCCATTAGCAAGCAAATATCTTTCAATTATAGCCAGGGCCCGGTCAATACGAATGGGACGTTGATCTTCGGTACAACGTCGGTCAAAGAAATGGTCTATGAACATGTTCCACAGATGCAGAGCATCTATGACGCAATCATCTGTGGAACTAAATACAAGGATGTTTACGAAAAGTTGACGCATTTGGGAAGGAGTTAAACTATAAGAACCCTCTCTTAAAGTTCGTTCCCATACGGAACTATCTTCAAAGAGGCCACGTTGGCGGGCTGCTTCGGCAAAAGTGGTGTACTTTATACCGTTCACTGTTTTTAAGTGGTCGGGGTCCCCAGGGAAATGTTTAGTAAGAATATAAAGGGCGAATTTTTCCGGGTCTTCGCGGGGGGAAACAGTATAAATACGCCCTAAAACTGGCTGACCTTTTACAGTTTTATTTTTACGGGGTTCCCAAGTTTTAGTATCGTCATGGAAGGCATAAGTTTCGGGGAGATTTTCAAATAAAATATTTTTAGCATTGTTATCTTTGGCCCATAATTTCCAGTAAGCAGTTAATTTGGATTCCGGATATTTACCGTGGGAAACATCATCTATTATTTGATCACGGGAAGCAGGAGTCATATAAACAGGTTGGTTACCAGGTAGGTGAATTGAGAGTGGGATTACTGCATGGGAAAGGTCAGCATATTTATAAGATTGGATTCGAGAAAATGCCTCAGCTGGACTACGATAAAGCATCTTGGCATATTGGGCAGGTTCATCTATATTAATGGAGCCAGCGGTATTTTTAATATATGAAAAACTTGGGCCTTTGAAGGGGTACTTTAGGGCATATTTAAGGTTATCGGTTTGGCCGTAGGCAAGTTCCAAGTTATGGTGGGATTGGAACATAACCATTATGAAAGGATTATAGGGGACAATACGAGAGTTATCGTATTTGATGATGGCTTGTCCACGTGGGACACTAAGGACTTCACCACCATCCTCGGGACTGGGACGATAATATTCCGCGGGCCTATTTGCGTGGATAATGGTCTGCCTGGAGAAGGCTTTTGGGAAAAACTTCATACATTTCCCATCATGCCCTCTGCAGTGAGTACCACAGTCATGGACTTGGAACTTAGGAATGAGGTCACGAACTTTCCGAAGAAAGTTCGCCCAATCAGAAGTATCTGAATCGGGTGGGTTGGGAGGAATGTGGGCCCAGATTATATTAGAAATATTTTCGGGGGTGGCTTCTAAGTCAGTTGTGTAGACTCTATGAAGATGAGGGCCGCCGATCCTTTTTTGGAATTCACGGCTTTGGGCATATCCGAGTATTTTCCCCAAAATGTGTTTATTATTAATAAGGTGTGTTAATTCACGCTTCTTATCTTCATAGACTCTACACATAATATCAAAACGGTCTACTAATTTTTGGTTTTTATGAAGGAAATTACGTTTTATTTCGCGCCAGTTTGGGTTGGAGGTAAAGGTTAACATGAACGATGCACAACCCTTTTGTCTCGTACGAGACATAATTGTTGTTGCATCGTAGAACATGTCCTGGAAGTAGGGCCGGGTCCCAGGATGATATCTACGAAAGAATACAACACTTGTAATGTCGTCGATTGATTTCAATCTTCCGTCATTAGCCAAGTGTTTAAGAATAGTCGGAGGGATGGTCTTAAGAAGGTTAAATTTGGGCTGGCGTAAGAAACTTGCTACTTCAGCATCAATTCGAGCTGAGTAGTCAAGAGTGAATTTTTGAGAAAGGCCACCACCTGCACTCCAAATGTTGTGCAGGGGCTCGTCCTTGCGAATTGCAAGACGATATCGAATATAATCGCGGAGGGAAATCCATTTCTTAGAAGTGGTGGGTTCTTCAAGCTCATCATCGGATCTTAAATCCTCCGAGTGGTCCTTAACTGGTTTGGGAGGAATTTTATTAGTATTAAAGGGGTATTTTTCATGGAACCCATCATCCCCATTAGGAAATAATAGTGGATAAGTAAGGGTGTCGGTGGTAGGGTGGTAAGCTGGAATTTCAAATAAAGATCCTTGAAGATCAGTAATATAAATACCTTTTAATAAAGGAGGGTCAGTGGACTCAGTCCAAATAGAAAACATTGCTTTCTCGTCAGGTAAATTTACTTGACGAGGATGGTCACGGGAATCTCTAATAGCTGCAGGCACATTTCGCTCCTCCAAAAGAGTAAAACGAAATTTGCTCACAGCATCGGGGCCATCCTGTTGCAGGATGCTTTCATACTGAGTATGAAAGTTTTTAAAATTTATTGCAAAGGGATGGGAGGTCCTAAGAAGGGTATCTAAATCCTGGAGAGTTTTCTTGTCTATTCGGTCTCCCCCATATTGGGTATTTTGCGTCCGTATATCCATTGCTTCATTAGCATCGAGGATATACAGTTGGGAAAAGGAAGGAGTTAAGGGTCCCGGGAACATTGAACTAATACGGCGAGAAAACTCTCCATTTAACATAAAACAGACACTACCATGGTGGGAGGAGTCCTGGTGCCCAACGGAAATAGAGGCAAAGGCTAATAAAGAATTATAAATATTTTCATTCTTAAGAAATTCCTTGGACTGGGGGGTATCAGATTTTAATAAGTCTTTTAATAAAGGGGGGTGTTCAGTGTAGGCAGGGAGAGTCACTTTGCCACATTTACAACAGAAGGAGGAGGTAACCCGTTTGAATGTTCTTTTATGTTCATTGTTAACTTCGGAATTAAATAATAAAGCCCAACAATAATAACAAATAGAATCCCCGAGGTTGCCCGAGTCATAATAATCAGTGGTATGCTGGGATCGAACATCAGCACAAGGCCATAATGGATGATTACGAGTACAATGACTCGAAATCGGATAGAAGGAGGACGGCGGTGAGGAAGTATGGGAAGAAGGTGCTGGTGTAGCATCCCTCTTTGACTTAATACGCTCGGAACGGCGTAAATTTTTGGAGGGAGGGTCTGGCTCTAAGAACACGAAGGGGTAGTTGGGTACAACTACCCCTTCGTCGGGAATTACATGTTCGAGGACATGTTGAGGGGGAACTACATGTTCAATGACATGTGGAAGGCGAGGGTGGTATTCGAAATTATCCCCATTAAAAAGATTATTAACGTGCCAGAGGATTCTACGTTTTTCGGTATTAATATTAAGATTATTAAAAAGGAGATTACGGTTATTAAGAAGCCAGGCTTCGGCATATAAACAGGTAAAGTACCCACAACTATTCCCATCATTTTGGCGGGTATATAAATTAGTAGGATAGTCGTTAATATGAATATTATTAATAGGAATATTAGTCATTCGGTTAATATAAGACTGAATAATAGGAATCCTTTCATCACCATGCAATCGTGATTGAAAGGGGAAAAAGAGGGAATCAATAAAAAATCCTCTATTATCAGAGGCATCCCAAACTACTAAGGTCCAGTGATTTGGGAAGTTAAGGGGGAAAAGGATTATCTCAGGCACTTGGCCTGGGATAAAACCATAGCACCGGTCTACGAAAGCTTCCTCTGGAATGTCTTGGACATTCTGATTTATAAGAAGAGGAATAATGACATTTGAGTCAACTACAACGGTGTATCTATGGCAATGTCGGGACAAATAGCAAAGAAATCCATAGATTTCAGAGCCATCGAAAAACTCTGTTAAATTATTCCAGAGTGTTTCTATACGAAGGGGAGCCCTATCATTATCTTCATCACGAAGTGCCATGAAAGCCCTATTACAAATTGCCCCGGGGTCATTGGTTTGTTGGGTTACAAAATTAAGTAAAGGGAGGTTTTCAAAATTAATAGTGGGAACCATAGGAGCCTCAGGTTGTTGGGGAATAATTTTAGGTTTTCGGCCTGCATTTTTTCGGGTTTGTTTCTTAGGACGACCACCCTTATTTTTGCCAGAAATTGATGGAGAGGAACACCGTGACGAATAAATGGAGGCCGAATCAAGGGAGGAAATTAAACTTTGGGTGTCAACAGAGGAATCTCTTGTCTTCCTCTGTTTCCTTGGCGCTACGGCCTCGGAAGTAAGGGAGAATGGGGTAAGTGGAGTTGTTGGAGTATGAGGAGGACCCGTGTCATTAGTTGTATCAGAAATATTTACATTTTCAAAATTAAAATAGAAAGAATGATCATGAGAAGAGGAAGGAAGAGAAGAAATAGAAGAAGATTCACCACCCTGAAGCGGGTTGAGAGATATATTGCTCTGAAGAGAGCAGTTTGGGGTTCCCAGATCAAGATTCTGATCAGAATGCTCTGGTTGGACATTCTGTTCAGTGCTCTGAAGAGAGCAGTTTTGGTTAGCATTCGCCGAATGGCGTTTGCGATCTTTTAAGCGTTTTAAATATTGTTTTGAAGGCATATTTTTAAAATATATTAAAATTTAATTATTAAACCCAAATTATCGAAAAATATATATTCAAAATCGCAAAAAAGAGGTGATGGATGGAAGAAGAAGAAAGAGGAAGACGAAGAAAGAGAGAAGAAAGATTAGTAAGAAAATAGATAAAGATGAAGAAGAGAAATAAAGAAAGATAGAAAAAAATAAATTTACTGCCCAAAAAAAAATAAATTTACTGCCCCAAAAATAAAAATTATTTACTGCCCCAAAAATAAAAATAAATCTACAGCCCCAAAAATAAAAATAAATCTACTGCCCATAAACATAAATCTACTGCCCCAAAAATAAAAATAAATCTACTGCCCCAAAAATATTACGCAAAAAAATAAATAGAGGGAGGAAGAGACAAGTTTCGCTACACATCTACGCAGGAAAAATAAAAAAAACATTGAAGAACAAAAATAAAAGGAGTTCTATACATTACTCTGCGTAGAATAGTAGCGGAACCGACATAGTATGAAATATAAATCAGTTCTGCCGAATCTATGACCATTACTCTAACAAACATGATTATGTTTTAGGTGTGAAATGATTTTAATTACATGTTACAGAAAAGTTTTAAATATATAATATATTTTAAATTATCTTTTATCTACAAATTTAAATATTTAATCATGTTTGTTAGAACTCTGAACACAGATTGGAGTGAGGAAAAAGGTTCTAACCAAGGCTTATGCCGTACGCATTGGACGATGTGACTTCAGGGAGGGAAAAAATAAAATGAAAAATAAACGAACCCAGGGAAATAGAGAGATATTGAGTAATTAATATTTTTAAATAATTTCGAAGGTAAAATAGAAGGTTCCAAAATCTTTTTAAAGGTAAATAGTGTATAAGATTGTATTATTATAATTTTTAAAATTTATTAGTAATTGAAACAAATATATCATTCATTAAAATATGTTGGAAACTATTTTTAGATAAATGGGAAAATATTTTAAATTATTTAAAAATCAGAAAGGGGAGAAAAAATTCAAAAATTGGTAAAAATCCCTCGAAGTATTTAAGATGGGGTTGGGTAGAAGTCACATATCCGCGTACAGCCCTTGGTAGAAGTCACCAGATGGCATCAACTGGGGGGTACCAGCTGATTGGAATGCCAAAAGATGAAAAGTTGGGTACAAAATAATAGGAGCGGAGTCTACCTGGGCTTCCAACCGGAGTAGAGAAGGGAATGAGGCCCACCTTAGAGTTCAAAGCATGATGCATACCAGTATTGGCATCCGCGCAGTAGGCTAGTATGCATTATAGGGGGATAAGTTAAATATAGTTAGGATTTTTGAAGTTTTAGATAATTTTTTCTAATAATTTATATTGGGGGCATGCTTTTTACTCTTCGGTGATTTGACAACACCGCATTCCCGACCCTAATTGGAAGGAGCCACTTGAGGTAGCTAAGAAATGATGCATTAAATGCATACATTAGTAAACGTGCAATGCTCCGAGGCGAAGTGCAATGCCCCGTATGAGCTGTTTAACTAATGTGTAATGAAAACCCGCACATTATGCGGCACCAGACTCCACAGGTCTTCTGCGGGATTATATCCGAATGGTTGGCCTTTTTGAGGTACCTGTACTATAACCCGAAAATTTTTATTTTTTTTAATTTTTGAGTACAGGTACCAAAAAACCATAATGTCTACGACTATTGGTAACTTAATACACAATAGTAGACATTATGATTTAGCCAACCAAACGGAAGCACGCATCCTGCTTCCTCCGGTTAACCACATAATGGTTTAGGGGAAAGATCTCTTTATTATAAGAAACCCCAAAAGGGGAGGGAGGAAAGAGAGAGAAGAAAGAAAGAAGGAGGAATAGAAGAAGAAGAAAGGAGAGAGAGAGAGGAGAGAGAGAGAGGAGAGAGAGAGAGAGAGAGAGAGGAGAGAGAGAGAGAGAGAGAGGAGAGAGAGAGGAATAAATATAATTAAATAATTTGGGTTTAATAATTAAATATTAATAATTTATTTATTAGAGAGCATATTTTTTAAATATTTAGAATGATTTTTAAAAATGACTGGAAATGAGAAATATGGGGTATATCCTCCTCCTTATATAGTCCCATACCCCCCATAGTACTCCCCTGCCCCAGAGTTAACATTTTGAGATTTTGACCATTTTGAGCCCTGACCATTTTGAAATTTACCATTTTGACATTTTTTGCCAAAATGACCTACTCGGGATTCTGAATCGATCTGTGAAGGTCTCGAGCTCGAGTCGAGCTCGAGACTCGAGCTCGAGGGCTCGAAAGGTACAAAGTTGCTCCAAGTATAGGCATGTGGGTACTCGTTCAAACGGGCTCGTCGAGCTGAGTCGGAATATGCAGGTCTCGAGGTCGAGACTCGAGGCTGGTTCTCAAACTCGAGACCTCGCCCCTATTTTTGGGGGGTTTCTCTCAGAATATTGGTCCTTTTTGACCATAACTTGGTCAGACTTAAGTAAATCAGCATAGGTTATTCCTATCCGAGATTCTAAATCGATCATTGAACGTTTCGAGCTCGAAACGAACTCGAGACTCAAGCTCGAGGGCTTGAAAAATAAAAAATTGCTCCAAGTATATGCATGTGGGTACTCATTCAAACGGGCTCGTCGAGCTGAGTCGGAATATGCAGGTCCCGAGGTCGTGACTCGAGACTGTTTTTTAAACTCGAGACCTCGCCATCATTTTTGGGGTGTTTCACCCACTCTGACCCCCATAATTTTGTCAGACTCAAGTGACCCCCAAACAGAGTATATATTTTTCGGTGCATTTTAGGACGCTCTACAATATGACCTGGCCATATATGCGAAATACCACTTCTTTGGTACCCCCAATGGGTATGGTACCGCCCACCCCCATATTTCGACCTTTTGTAACTTTGTACAAAATGGTCAGAAAATTTTGAAAAAAATATTTTTATGCTCAGCTCGATGAGAGCTTTTAAATGATATAACATTTGGCCTATTTATGGCCATTTTGAAAAAATTATTTTTTGGCCGAAAATTTTGGCCGGAAAAATCAACGAAATTTTCAAAAATTCATAACTTGCCCAAAGTATACTCTTTTAAAACATTTTTAAATCTTATCCGGTGCAGAAAAATCTGCTCTATCCAGGAAAAATACTTTCGGCCCGAACTGCCGGCAAAAATCCCGAAATTTTTTCGAAAAACCGAAAATTTTTCGGGTTTTCGAAATTCGACCACTACACCCCCAATTTCGATTTTTTTCGAAATTTTCTTCTATCAAAAAATACCTAATTTTTAGTACTATTTTATAAAAGAAACCGCAACACTATCCGAAAATCCCAAAAAAAGTTATGGTCCCCCAAAAATTCCCGAAAATTTTCCAAAAGGGGTACCCCTTTGGAAATAGGGCCGGGGACAAAATTTTGGAATTTTGACACCAAAATAGGCCTATATGGTACTCTCGCACCCGCTGAGTACGAATCCGGCCTCGAAAAAATTTTAAAAAATTTCCCCGGGACGTTAGAGTCTCAAAAAGTTTTACGACATTTGGCCACATTGGCTATAACTTTTTGAGACTCAAGTGGACCCCCAACATATAATACCTTTTTCTGACCGCCAGGGGACGCTCTTTCGAATGAGCTATTGAAATCGCATTTCAATTCACTTTTGCAAAACACGACTCGAGTCGAAGTCACTCAAGAGCTCATAACTCCCCAGGGTTCGATCTGAGACTCGAACGTCCCTTAACATAAATGTCCCTAACACTCTCCCCTACAAATAACTTAACACCGCCAAAGTGATTCCCCAGCAAGACTTTTTCACTATAACCATTTTCCCCCCTCAGACTCAAATATCCCACCCTCAGACTCAAGTGACCCCCACCAAACAAACATCGTTAAATCCGCATTAATTTACCCTATAATACCCCCCAGGTCCCATCCCGCTACGCCTCTCCAAAAAAAAGTTACAGTCAAAAAACCATTTGAGTACGGGCCGGACATTTCAGTCTCACGGGGGTTTCGACCTTAAGACTTAACTTTTTCGACCCGAATTTTTTTCTATTATGATCCACTATTAGTGACACAGATTCCTACCAGCAAGACCTTCCCCCCTTTCTATTGAACTTTTTCGAGATAAAAAATTGACCCATGCAGTTTGAGACTCAAGCGACCCCCGGAAAATTTTTTCTATAGTTTTCCCAGATGCCCCGTAAAAAGTTGCCCCCAGGATGTCAGGCTTCGGGGAAGCGGCCGGCCTTCGGCCGGCCGATATGAATTTTTAAAATCGAACTTTGTCTTTTTTATAGGTATAAAGTAACTAGTTGTGCCCATTGGGGTATGGCGGTAAGTTACGTATGCAATAGGTTTAGTTACGATACTTTTGGATTTCTATGCTCTGCCCGTTGGAAAGCCTAACGGCTTTGGGGCGCGCTTCGCGCGCGGCTAGAAACGGTATATTTTGCCCTGCCTTTTCATCGCCCTGACTTTTCATTGCTAAAGTTTAGCCCTGCCTTTTCATCGCTTCGGGCCTTCGGCCTCGCCGGTAAAGTTTAGCCCTGCCTTTTCATTGCTTCGGGCCTTCGGCCCTCGCGATATATTTTGCTCGGGCCTTCGGCCCTCGCAATTCGTTTTGAAATGGGTCTTAAGCTCGGGCCTTCGGCCCTCGCGATTCGTTTAGGGATGGGTCTTAAGCTCGGGCCTTCGGCCCTCGCGATCCATTTTGGGATGGATATTCAGCTCGGGCCTTCGGCCCTCGCAATTCGTTTTGGGATGGATATTCAGCTCGGGCCTTCGGCCCTCGCGATTCGTTTTAGGATGGGTCTTAAGCTCGGGCCTTCGGCCCTCGCAATTCGTTTTGGGATGGATATTCAGCTCGGGCCTTCGGCCCTCGCGATTCGTTTTAGGATGGGTCTTAAGCTCGGGCCTTCGGCCCTCGCGCTTCGTTTTGGGATGGATCTTCAGCTCGGGCCTTCGGCCCTCGCGATCCATTTTGGGATGGATCTTCAGCTCGGGCCTTCGGCCTCGCCGGTAAAGTTTAGCCCTGCCTTTTCATTGCTTCGGGCCTTCGGCCCTCGCGATATATTTTGCTCGGGCCTTCGGCCCTCGCAATTCGTTTTGAAATAGGTCTTAAGCTCGGGCCTTCGGCCCTCGCGATTCGTTTTGAAATGGGTCTTAAGCTCGGGCCTTCGGCCCTCGCGATCCATTTTGTGATGGATATTCAGCTCGGGCCTTCGGCCCTCGCGATCCATTTTGGGATGGATATTCAGCTCGGGCCTTCGGCCCTCGCGATTCGTTTTAGGATGGGTCTTAAGCTCGGGCCTTCGGCCCTCGCGATTCGTTTTGGGATGGATCTTCAGCTCGGGCCTTCGGCCCTCGCGATCCATTTTGGGATGGATCTTCAGCTCGGGCCTTCGGCCCTCGCCGGTAAAGTTTAGCCTTGCCTTTTCATCGCTTCGGGCCTTCGGCCCTCGCGATTCGTTTTGGGATGGGTCTTAAGCTCGGGCCTTCGGCCCTCGCACGGCGGGCCTCCGGCCCGCCGTTTGGGGGCCTTCGGCCCCCAAAC